CCCCAAAACCCCAAAACCCCAAAACCCCAAGTGGAGGAAGACAGGTTGAAATAGGTGGTGGAAACTGAAAATTAGAGGGAAATTGGGGTGTTGTCTTCTTGGATGATGGAGATGTGGGACAGGCCGTGGGTGGATAGCAGGGAGGTCGCTTTGGATATTGAGATTTTGCAATTGCGAAGGTTGAGGGTTTCGAGGGAGTCTTTGAGGGAGGAGTTCTTGATAGCAGTGACAATCTTTTCGAATTTGTCTGGGTGCTTGTCCCATTCTTGGTTGGACCAATCATATCGTCCTCAGTTCTTGAAACTTAAATATGAGATCTTTGATGGAGTTGGGGATGCGAAGTCAAGAGAATTTGAAGTTAATATTTTACTAAGCCTAACAGTCAACCTTTCAGCATTGTAAGATAACTTCACAATCTGGCTAAGATCGTCAGAATCAGCTATGAGCTTAGTCAAGTACACTTCTTTTGTTACTTGAGGAAGCACCTTCTTCAATCCGTCCAAGTAGAACTTCACTTTTACTACTCCAGTTTCTTCATCACCACTTCCTTTATAATCAACATTAAAAACTAAAGATTTGAGTGAAGCCAGTGAAGAATTAGTCAGAAATTTCTTGAGAGCAGCATCCTCATTGTCAACGTTATCAATCTTCAGTTTGTCCATGTCTCCAAGGTGGTATTTGAAGTCTCCCAATGTTTTCACGAGTTTCTGGCATTTGTCTTTGGTCATGTTCAAAGTGAGGTCTTTAGAATCTGGGTCAAAGTCTTTGCAAATACCTTTAAGTTGGTTGGTGAGCATTTCTTTGGTCTCTTCGAGCTGGCCTATGTTCTCCTTTAACTCTAAACATTCAAGATTATCAATGTCTTACCTTCACAAAGCTTAGATATTTCATCTTGGTCTTTAGCGTGTTGGTTCTTAGATTCTTCGATCTGGTCAAGTTTGGCCTTCAAATCCTCTTCAAGTTGAGCCTTGAAGTCTTTCAAGTCTTTGTTCTCAGCTTGCAATGTGGCATTTTCAGCAAGAGCTTCGTCTCTTTGCTTCTTGGTATCTTCGGTATCTTGAAGTGCTTGCTCTGTGGCTTCTTTCTGTTCCTCAAGCTCTGTATCCTTAGCATCATTCATATGCTTCAAGTTCTGGATCTCGTCTTTGAACTCCTCGGTGAGCCTATCTTTACACTGTTGCTCAAATTGTCTTGATTTGGAGCTGAACTTCTTCTCCATCAGCTCCACATTTTCTTTGACCACAGCATCGATCTTCTCTTTGACCTTGGTGGCAGATGATAAATCTAAGCTTTAAAAATAATAACTTACCACCACCGATCTTGGGTAGGCTGTACATGCTGACGTCCCTGAATGTTGACAAGTACAAAATATCTTTGACGACTTTGCTATCGTCCATCTGAGTTTGGACCCTAAAGAGATCAGCAAGTTTAAGTGAAAGCACTCAAAGATATGAGGGTGCCATTTTAACAAGTGGAGGAAGAACTTACTGTTTGATCTCAGACTGGAGAGTGTCAAATTGTTCGAAGTGGTCGTGAGTAATTGCATCTTTTATTTTGTTCTCGATCTCAACGAGGCTATCCTTAAAATCTTTGAGTTCACTGTCAATGTTGGGACTGTATCTTCTCAGACCATTCTCAGCTATGAGCTCGAACAGTCTCTTCACAAATCTCTTGACTTCGATCACATCGATCTTGAGGTCAGTCAGATCGTGGATGATATCCAGCTGGCATTTGAAGTGCATCTTGTTAGCTCAGCTCTTGCATGTTTGCATCTGATGGGATTTACAGAAGTACACTCTGTGTTTCTTGCATGCAGGGTCACTACATTGAAGCCTATTACAAGTTAAGATGGCTTTGATCAAAAGAATTAACATCTAGATCACTCAGGCTTACTTTTGGGGAATAGCATTAAAAGGATCCATGTTTGGAAATAAAATCCAATAATTAAGAAAGGTAAGTTCAACTGTGATTTATACCTGTGGGGTTTTGGGGTTTTGGGGTTTTGGGG